ACATTTTTACCTTTCCCCCAGATATCAAAGTCAAGACTCTACCATGGAGCCAGGGCAAATTAACCTCCAACTCAGATCAGGAGGAGGAGGAGAAGGCACACACACACACACACACACACACACACACACACACACACACAAAACTATAGCAAACACGAAAGAAGAGAGAGCTGCCTGTCTAGAATGGCACAGTCTACTCAGGAGGCAAGGAGAAAAATATGAAAACTTCCAGATTTCTATTCCTCCAGTTTTCTGACTAGTATATTCCCATCCCTCAACTATAAGTAAGAATTTCTGAGAAACGACCTTTTGAAAAATACCAACAAAAGTAAATTGAAAATCGGTTACCTGCATAAAGCTCAGAAAATGCTAAGTGTTTAAGAACAACAACAACAAAAGTATAAATTTAAAGGACTTAGAGCTGGAAAAAACTGGTGGCAAGTTCTTTCTTTTTTTTAATGTTTATTTATTCTTGAGAGAGAGAGAGAGACAGAGACAGAGCACAAGCGGGGAAGAGGCAGAGGGAAAGGGAGACACAGAATCTGAAGCAGGTTCCAGGCTCTGAGCTGTCAGCACAGAGCCTGACGTGGGGCTCAAACTCACAGACTGTGAGATCATGACCTGAGCTCAAGTCAGAGGTTTAACCGACTGAGCCACCCAGGCACCTTGCTGGCAAGTTCATTTTTAACAATTTTAAGAACACAATTTATAAAATCTCTTTGAAATTACATTCTTTCAAGCTTCAATAAATATGTACATTAAAAAATCAACAAAAATTAAAGTAATAAGGTTTTTGTTTTTAAATGGTTGCTCAGTCTATACTTAGGGAATATAATTTTCATGCAGTCTCATGCTAATGATAATTCACCTCTTTAATCTCTAACAATATTTATATAAACACTAACAACGGTTGATTTTTTATATGGTAAAATAGATATAACATGATACAATTTCTGCTTTTTAATTGGAAAGTTAAGATAATGCTATATAGTCTCTTTCTGAAAGTAGATAAAGATAAAAATTTGAAGAATATTAGGGACCTACCTACCCTAGGTCTTAGAGAATCACATATTCTTAGTTCTTCAACCAGTTTTAAGTCTATAGCTCAATTTATTCCAATGGGAGTTTTAAACTAACATATAGTTAAGTACTTTTACTAGTTGAAATATTGAAATTTGGCCGAAATAAGGCTGACATTCCTCCTGTGCAAGACCACACAGGCTTGAATAAATGGGAACCAATCTGCACAGGCATATATTTGATCTAGAACTGGTTCATTTGCTCCTGACCTCCTCCTCTCTCTGCACCTGGGAGAAACAGTTCACTAGGCCATCTGGCTGAGTGCTCCTTCAGACCCCACGTCCTTAAATTGACTCTGACCCACCAAGAAGGTGTGGAGACAGAGGGCACATCACTATGGCAACTCCCCACAACAGACCCAAGCTGCTAGCATAGGACTCCCATCTCAGAAGTCACATGTTGATCCATCCCCCAAAAGATATGTGAGCAGATACTCGGCAAAACCTTGTCATTTTATATACAGAAACCACAATCTTCCATCTCAGTGGCTGGGCTTGAACACAAACCGCCATGTAGCTGTGGTCACCGTATATCCTGGTCTTCCCTACACGGTCCAGGTTTATACTTGTTATAAGTATAACAAGTATAAGTTATAAGTATAACAAGTATAAGTCTGTGTAATTATTAGTGGTACCTCCTTTCTCAATAAAAAACACTCTAGATTAAACAATGAATTTTATGGTCTCCTCCAGACAGGCCTATTTCAGGAAAGGGACAGGCATGAGAGACAAATGAGAGGCAAGTTTATTCATGGATGTTTGCAGGCCTACCGCTCTAGGCTACTTTCCATACTTTGTTCAGTGACTGGACACCTTTTAACAATGATCTTAAAGCCCAACTAAATAATTCTCCACTACAAATGTAGAACTCAGAGGGGGTGCATGGGTGACTCAGTCGGTTAAGCATCCGACTTCAGCTCAGGTCATGATCTCCCGATCTGTGAGTTCGAGCCCCACATTAGGCTCTGTGCTAACAGCTCAGAGCCTGGAGCCTGCTTCAGATTCTGTGTCTCCCTTGCTCTCTTCCCCTCCCCCACTCATTCTCTGTCTCTCTGTATCTCTCAAAAATGAATGAACATAAAAAAATTATTACAAATGTAGAACTCGGATGCAAAACAAACAGTAGGTCTCTTTCCTTCTGATCTCAAAGGTGTCCAGAACCATCCAAAGCCTACTCTATGTGAGGCATACCACTAGATAATAATGTGAGGAATCCATTCCTTTAACCAGTTCAGCTGTAGAATCATCACTTCTGAGAATTTTACTTCTAAATTCTTCCCCCCAAATGGCCCTAACTCTCCCTACTATGAGAGCCATACCAAATGGATTCAGATGCTCACACGGAAATGTGGCAAAAAGTGCACAGTGTCTGATGACTGCACTTGTCCATTCGACAAATGTTTATGAAAAAGATAGAAAGTGGCAGCCCTTAAATCTCTGAGGCCAAACCTCAGATGTGTTTTGTTTGGTCCAGATAGAAATCTTAAATGTTTACAATAGTCGCTAATCCTTTAAAACATAAAGTCATATATAAAAATCCAGATTTCCACTCTTAGGAAATCAGAAGCTCTGACAACACCAGGCCTGTATCTTTTTAATACAGTTTGCAACTGGTGCTGTGTAAGTAAGTCCTTAAGAAATGATGGCCACTGTCTAGGCCTCCACAGTCCTCACTCAACCATTCCCAGGCATTTGAGTTCGCAACCACTTACATACTGCTGGAGATAATCCTTAAGGGAACAACATCTGGCCTTTCAAATTAAGGATCCTCTGCCAGGATTCTCTATGTTCAGAGTAAACTGGAATCCATATCTTTAGATCAAAGACTTAACTGGGAAATGGCAATAAACAGGAAAAGTTTTTTTTTTCTTTTATCAAAAGGACATATGGTTTCCACTGCTCCTACAGGATCAAAAGGGAGAAATGAGCCTAAGCATGTTATTATTTGTAAAATAATAGCACATTCAGCCTTAAACACCTAAATACATAATTAAGGTAAATAAAAGGGCATGTTTTTAATTGATCCCCTAACAATGAATCTGGGAGGGACTCAAAAGCCACAGTGAAGAATTCAAATTGCCATGACCCAACCCCCCCAACATAAATAAATTTCTACTATCAGTGAAATTAGCAATGATGTATCATGTATCACATCTGAACAAAATGACTTCAACATAAATTACCAAAAATCATAAAACATTCCTCAAAGTCCTGGAAAATGCAACTTCTTCCTCCTTACTGACAGAACCAAAAAAATCTTAATAAAAATGGTGACAACTTTCAGACACAAAGAACTGCTGCACTCCCATTTGGACAGGGGTGAAAGCTAAAAATAATCTTGGAACACATAAGCACAAAGTGATGTTCACTTTAATCATGGCTGGGATGTTTAGATTATCTGTAAAAAGGTATCTCAACATACATCTAACAGTGTCATATATGTTAAAACTGCTCACTTCATAATGGGAGCTCTGGATGTGGATATTAACCTAGTTTATGAAATAACTGATTAAATCTAAGACAATAAACTTTCATTTTCTTCAATTCAAAGGCTACAGGCCTTTGGTGAAAAATTACTGGTCTTTCAATTACAGTCACTAAAATAATGAACTAAGGGGAGTCCAACTCTGGATTTCGATTCAGGTCATGACCTCCGGGGTTTGTGAGATCCAGCCCTGCATGGAGCCCTGCATCAGGCTCCACAATGACAGTGTAGAGTTGGCTTGGGATTCTCTCTCCTCTCTCTGCCTCTCCCCTACCATGCTCCCGCCCACTTTCTCTCTCTCAAATAAATAAACGTGGAAAAAAATAACGAATTAAGGGCGGAAAAGGCCTTATTTATAGGATGTTTTTCTCCTTTGTTGTTAATTTCCCAGCTACCAAAGGAACTGCCACGTGTTGCAACTGAGACTACATTTAGATCTAGATAACATGACTTTTCTAAAGAATCTAAAGTACTTTGCAAACATCAAATAACTATTTTTAGAATAGCACTTTGGGGTTTATCATATAGTAAAAACGCTTTACACTTACTTTAAAACCAGTTTTCAAAGACATAATCAGTGTCATAAGGTTTTTAGATTCTTGTCGCCATTCAATAGAAAAGCGCGCCTGTTTTTAAGGAAGTAAAAAATGCACTGTTTGGTAACAGGCACCTCGATTTAGTAGACTTTGGGGAAATCTTAGAAAACAGATTTTGACCTCTTTTACGACACTGCTGTTTAAATCACCCAAGTTGATACTGATTCTGTCTCCAATGAGTGCATAAAAAATTGCAAAAGGAAAAAGTTTTCTTTCCACTCAACGAATCTAAACGCAGATTCCTATTCTGCTCGCTGATAATCTGACAGAGTCCGCTAACTTCTCCGCTCCGAAATAGCCTCCCAGCTCCCAGACCAGCAGGTGCTGTTGTAACTAGGACTCCATGGTCCAAGTGGGTTAAGGTGCAGAACTCGACCAAGACCGAGAGCGAGTGCAGGGCCTGTGGGAACCCGACACTCTTCCTTGTTTTACACACACACACACACACACACACACACACACACACACACACACACGGCCGGGTTTGCCATCTCCAGTCACACCCCAGACACTACGGTCCTTCCCAGACGCGCGCAGCTCGCTGCGTCCTCCTGTGGCGCGCACTCTCCACCATCCCGGGACCACTCTCCGCCTCCTCCCCTCTCCCCTGCTCCTGCAAGGGTTTCATTCCCGCCGTCCAGCCGGCCCGCTAGCCCCGCACCCAAGCTCCCGACTCCTGGTCCTTGGGGCAGGAGGAGTGGACGCTGGAGCGTGCCACGTGGAAGGAGCGCGCCAGGAGCCCTGACCACAGGTCCTTCCCGAGGGGTCCCAAAGCCTCCAGCCCTGCTCCTCCCCCCGGGTGTGCCAGACCCGCCCCCGCGCCTCCAGACGCCGTCTTGCCTGGTTGGGGTCTGTAGCGCGGAAAACGTGGCAGGCCATCTGCGACTCGGGGTCGTCTGGCTGCGCCTTGATCAGGTAGGCAAAGTAGGTGAGATCGTGGCTGTTGTGAATGAAGCGCGAGACGTGCTGTGCCTTGTGCTCGAAGATGAACACGGCCGGGTTGGGCTGCGCGGCCGCGGGGCCGACGCCCCCCGCGGCCCCGGCGGCGGGTGCGGGGACACAGCGCAGGAAGGGCGCGCTGAGCACCAGAAGCACCTCGCGGGCGGCCGGCGCCCCGCAGCCGCCCGCGTCGGGCTTCTGGCTGCGCCGCCGGATCTCGGCCATGAGCCAGGGCAGCATGGGCAGCGTGGTCCTGTGGTCCAGGCACGACCCCCCCACGTACCACAGACGGAACCGCTTGTCGCCCGGCTTCCCGGGGCCCGGCTGTGCAGGGGCGCCCGGTTCAGGCTCCAGGGGGTGCGGGAACGGCTCATCCTGAACGCAGCTGGGGGACTCCATAACTCGCGCCTCTCGAACGCACCGAGGCGGCCGGGTAGGCGCGCCGCGCCCCCAACTCTCGCGCCGAAGGCGCCGCCGAAACTGTGCCAACTGCCGCACCGGCGCCCGCGCCCGCTTTTGGCACGGCGAGACACCGAACTCCGCGCTTCAGCGGCCCTGCCCCATGCGGCACTTCCCCGGGCGAGGCTCGGAGACTCGGGCGGCGGGCACGGCGGGAGCGCCCCGCGGCCGGACTGGCAGGAGAGGGCGGGTTAAATCGTCATCCTCCTTCCTCGGGCTAGCGCCGAGGGACCGAACTTCCCCCTTCCTCCGCCGAGGGCCCCGCGCCGCCGCCGGCCGCCTCCTGCTCCAGCGCTGCAGAGCCGCTGCGGCCGCCGCACTCGCCTCGGGCAGGCGGAGGGAGGCTGGCTGGGCGGGGAATGGGCTCTGGGAGGGCGGGGTGACTTGGGGCGGAGCTGACTCCTACCAGGGTGACCGGCTGTCACCTGGAAGGTCGGGGCCGCCGGGCTTCGGCGCGATCAGCCGTGCCTCAGGAAGGGCGTGCGAGAACTGTTCACTGGAAAATAACCAGACCCAAACGTGGCCACGCTGGGCCGCTCCCCCAGCCGTCGCCGCGGCCCAGCTCGCTGCTCCTCCTCCCGGCTGCTCCGGTCCCTCCCTCGCTCCTTCCTTCCTTCCAGGCTGCTACTTTAACCGAGCTGCTACCCCGCCTCCCGTCCAGCGGGCGGAGAGAGCCTGGCCCCTAAAAGCTTTTCGGTGAAGTCACCTCTCCGCCACTTCCTCCGGCCCCTGTGCCAGCCCGCCCTTCCAATCCGCCCCTGGGGCAGCGACCCCGCTGCAGGCCCGGCCACTGCCGGGATCGACTCGCCCTCTCCTTGGTCCCCGACGTCTGGGTCCTCCCGCGCGTCTCTGCTGCCCCCTGGAGAGGCGGCCCCCTCTCAAGAGGGCGTTGGGATTTCTGTTTTTTTGAACAGCATTTATTTGCGTGGCTTCAATTCCTTCTGAAGCCTGCGTAATAAGTTCTGAATCTTATTCCAAACAGTATCCAAAAGAATCCTATTTTATTCATTCTACATACCCAGCTCAGAGGTGTAGAGATTTCTCACTCTTTTATGTGCAGTAATCTGTAGTTCCACGGAACTCGAAAGACATTTAAGGGATAATTTGATCATTCTAACTTTAAACCAGAAAGAAAAGTATTATTTTTTTCATTTGAGCAAATTAGATTCTCGTTCTTTTTACTCTTACTGAATTGTAATGAATTCGATAAGAGGTAAACAAAATAAAAGGGAAAGACTCTGAAAGTTCCCACCTCTCTCCAAAGTACTTCCAGGAAGAATGAAAATCCAAAACCCAAAGGTTTCTCAGTGTTTTCAGTTTAATGATATTCTCACTTTCTGTAAAGCCTTGGAACTATCTTTTATCCTATTTATGTAAGATAGTTATGGCCAATTGTCACTTTTCCTGTGTTCAATTTCTGGGTACATCCTGGTGATTTTATTGGAAATAAACATCCGAGCTCCAAGATGGAGACCTTATTAATTGTTTAGGTTTAGTCATTTGATTTAACCACTCTACCACTTTGTGCAAAATAGACCCATGTCCTCAAGCAGCAGTGAAAAGTTCTTGGAATGTAGATTGAAACCTTCTAGAACCTTACCAGTAACTCTCTTATTCAGATCCCATTTTCCTAGGCTACATATGTGGGATCCATAAAAGAGAGGGAAAAAAGAACAAAGATCTGGGGAGAGCATCGTTCCACCAAGTCAAACAGCTTGGAAGCTGGGATTGAGTTCGAAGTCCCAGCAGACCATTTCCTACTGGTCAAAGAAAGTGAAGCAATAAACTTGCACTCATTGATAGAAAAACAGAAGAATTGTCTTTTATCATTGCCTCCTGCTCTGAAAGCCTTTAGCCTTCTCTTTGTAACTTTTTTGTCATGCTTGTCTTCGTATGCATTGAGTATTATTACTGCTTACCAATATCTGATCCTCTCTGCATACCGATACAAGAGAAGGCAGCTCTTCTCTGCCCCTTAAAGTTGGGCACGGTCTTAAGACTTGTTTTGGCAGTGATGACTTGGGCTGCATCTTAAGCAGAAGGATTTAATTGCCAGTAGTCTCCACTCCAGCCCCCTTTCAGCTCCAGGGATCATCATGGAAACATGTGCATATGGAGGCTGCTTGTAATCAATGCAGCCCAGAATGCTGAGCCAGCACAAAGAGGAGAGCTGTCCTGCAAGAAATATCTCCTGAATAGTCTTATAGGCATCACCACCTATGACATCCACCTTCCATCCAACCCAACATCTACTTTTTCCCCTACTCACACATCCAGACACCAGACATCACCTCCATCCCCAACCGCATACCGGGCTCACTCTCCATGGGGCTTCACAGGTGCCTTCCTCTCCCTATTGCTCTTCCTGTCGCTCCACAGCTTGAACTTCCCTCACCCTTCGCTACTTTAGTGTCCATTCATTAAGGCGCAACTCAAAAGTCACTCTTCTGTGAAGATGTTTCTCACCAATCCAGAGTTAGCAGGCCTCTCTTTGCTCTTTTTTAATGTATTCCTCTATTATAGCTCTTAACGCATTCTTTGTAATTCTCAAGTGATTTGTCTGTGTCCCCCACCACAAAGAGGGCATCTTGAGAGGGATTATTTTTTTGGCCCATATTTTCCTCCAGCAAGGTAGCCGATATGTAATAGGTTCTTAATAAATGTTGAATGAATGAACAAATGAATAGCAAATTAGAATTTAAGAACCCGAAGATTCAAATGAGAGTTTTAATATCATAGAGGTGATGTACCAAGTGATTTAGTTAGCTAATTTCATAAACATACTAAATGTATCTACCAGCTAATTATCAAGTACTAGAAAATAATAGGATGCCTCCCTACAGTTGTAATGGAGCTCCGAATGGAGTGGCAAATAGAGCGCAAGCATTCGTGACTGAATAAAATTTTGAGATAACAGGGTTTTCCCTCTATTGTTCCTTTGTTCCCTGTGACCTTCCCTCAGCCCGGGCAGCCAGGGCACTGCATCTCCTCTGCTCCAGTGAAAGGATGACACAGCAGAATACAGATAACAAAAGAGTCCATTCTTAGCCTTCAGGTTTCAAAAACTAAAGACTTGGCAAAGGCAAAAGATTTAGAGTATGTGCTCAGAGTCAGTTTCTCTTGCTCTAGATACTTAGAAAAGTTTCCCCAAACTTGGAAGATGGAGATGAAGAAGGAATAAATAAGAGGTAACTACTAGGAAACCAAAATACAATGTATGACTTTCAAACCAGTAGAATATTTATCCATTTGGTGGAAAAGGGAAGAGAAAAAAAAAGAAAAAAAAACAACAACAATGAAACAAAAATAAAGTGTGATAAGTAGAAAGTTGAAAACAGTATGGCTGCAGTAACTCCAAATAGCAACTATAATGTAAATTAGTTCACCTAACCCACAAAAAGGTAACAATGTAAAGTTATCCAGGAATCTGTTGTTTACAGAATCAGTTTTACTTATTTTTGTTTATTTATTTATTTTGAGAGAGAGAGCGAGGGGAGAGGCGAGAAAGGGAGAGAGAATACCAAGCAGGCTCCACACTGTCAGCCTAGAGCCCTACCTGGGCTCAAATTCAGGAACCATGAGATCATGACCTGAGCTGAAATCAAGAGTTGGAGGCTTAACTGACTGAGCCACCCAGGCACCCCTACAAAATCACTTTTATCTGTTTTAAAGGATATTTTTTATTTTATTTGTTTATTTATTTATAAACGTTCTTTGAATTTTTTTTTTTTTAATTTACATCCAAATTAGGTAGCATATAGTACAACAGTGATTTCAGGAGTAGATTCCTTAGTCCCCTTACCCATTTAGCCCATCCCCCCTCCCACCACCTCCATAACCCTCCGTTTGTTCTCCATATTTATGAGTCTCTTCTGTTTTGTCCCCCTCCCTGTTTTTATACTATTTTTGTTTCCCTTCCCTTATGTTCATCTGTTTTGTCTCTTAAAGTCCTCATATGAGTGAAGTCATATGATCTTTGTCTTTCTCTGACTAATTTCACTTAGCATAATACCCTCCAGTTCCATCCATGTAGTTGCAAATGGCAAGATTTCATTCTTTTTGATTGCCGAGTAATACTCAATTGTATATATATACCACATCTTCTTTATCCATTCATCCATCGATGGACATTTGGGCTGTTTCCATACTTTGGCCGTTGTTGATAGTGCTGCCATAAACATGGGGGTGCATGTGTCCCTTCGAAACACCACACCTGTATCCCTTGGATAAATGCCTAGTAGTGCAATTGCTGTGTCATAGGGTAGTTCTATTTTTAGTTTTTTGAGGAACCTCCATACTGTTTTCCAGAGTGGCCGCACCAGCTTGCATTCCCACAAAATCACTCTTAAAACGCAATCATACAGAGGGGCACCTGGGGGACTCAGTTGGTTAAGCATGGGATTCTTGATTATGGCTCAGGTTGTGATCTGAAGGATCAAGCCCCTCTACGGGACTCTGTGCTGACTGCTGGGAGTCTGCTTGGTTTTCTCTCCCCTTTTCTTTCTCTCTCTCAAAATAAATAATAAATAAACATTAAAAATAATTAACACATATAGAAACAGTGCAATAAACAAATAGAAGAAAGTATATCAGGCATAGATAAGTGAAAATAAAGCCAGGGTAGTGGTTTCAATATCAAATTAAATAGAAAGTAAACTAATGAAGGGGGTCACAAAGAAAATTTTGCCAGTGAAAGTACTAAGAAGATACTATTTTTTAACACATAGACACTAAGGAAATTGATTCCAAATACATAAAACAAATAAAAGACTGACAGGAAACATAAATACATCAACACTTTTAGTTGATGACTTTAACAAATCATTCTCAGATACAGTAAAATTAAATAAACTAAGAACAATCAAATTTATAAGTTTGATGAGTAGAGAATGCAAAATTTTTATAGAGTACCTGTGAAAGAAACAAAAATTGGCAGTGCACCGTGTCACACAAGAAACCCATAAATTCCAAAGAATTGCAATGATATAGATCATGTTTTCTGACTATTATTCAAGGCAAATCAAAAACAAAAACATAGGTTTTAAAAATCATTATGTCTGAAGAGTAAAAACATAATGTTGGATAATCCTGATCAAAAAGAAAATTATGAAAGAAAATTCTATTATATGGAATTAAGTGATAAAATGATTTTATGCCAAAACTTGTCAAATACAGGTAAATGTATTGATTAATAAAATAAATAATAATAATAAATAAATAATAAATATTAATAAATAAATAATAAGTAATAATAAAACCTAAAATAATAAATAATAATAAATAAAATAAATAATAATAAAACTAAAATTTTAAAAAAAGAATGAATGAAAGTAAATTAACTAAAAATTCAACCTAAAAAAGTAGAAAAACTGTCATGGGGAAGCCCAAAGAAATAATTAAGGAGAAAGTAATAGAGATCAATTTAGATATTAGGAAAATAAAAAATGGGAAAATAATAGAAATTAATAGCAAATAACAATCTCTTCATGTCTATAAATCATCTGAATTTCTCCTTGAAGTATTTGGTGCTCATATCTTTGCATTTTTTTTCTTAATGTTTTATTTATTTATTTATTTAT